GGGCTAACATTAGCTCCTGGAGGCTAACATTAGCTCCTGGGGGCTAAGATTAGCTCATGGAGGCTAACATTAGCTCCTGGAGGCTAACATTAGCTCCTGGGATCTGAAATTTGCCTTATAAGTTCTAATCTCTCCCCAGAGAGCGGGTGGGGCAGAACAAATGGCAGATCTTGACTATTATCACAACAGCCCATATTCAGAAAAAAGAGTTGTCCCTTCTTTATCAATTTAAAATCTTCCATCTCTGTGATTGTCAATGTGCTATAAAAACACAAATCAAACAGGTTTTAATTCAAGGTTCTTTATTGTCATAATTGTGTACACAGGGTCCCAGTTACATCCAACAAAAATACAAATTGTAAAGAAAAACAGTGATAAGATCTAAGACATGAACTAAGAATACACTAAGTACAAAAAGTACAAGAACAATACGCCGAACAGCAGCACGAACATGAGTTTGTGTGAGCAGATGAGCACGAATGAACAAAGCAGTATGAAATAAATCAGCAGCATGAGATCAGCAGCATGGATAATCAGCAGCACATTTCAACAATCAAGTGGCATTACAGTGATTTTTCACAGTGATTATTCTGGTTAGAGATTCATGAGTCTAACGGCCTCAGGGTAGAAGCTGTTCCTCAGTCTAGTGGTTCTACACTTAATGCTCCTCAACCTCTTTCCTGAGGGGAGCGGGGCAAAAAGTGTGTGTGCTGGGTGAGTGTGGTCCTTCATGATGCAGGTGACCCTCTTCCTGCATCTGGAGGTGTAGATGTCTGTGATGGTGGGGAGACTGACTCCAACATCTTCTGTGCAGCCTTCACCACTCTCTGCAAAGCTTTTCTTTCTGCAGCTGTGCAGCCTCCATGCCACACGTTGATGCTGGAGCACAGGATGCTCTCCACTGCACACCTGTAGAAAGAGGTGAGGACTGAGCTTCCAGACCAGCTCGTCTCAGCCGCCTGAGGAAGTAACCACACAGATTAATGCCATGCAGTCACTGTGTTTCTATCGGTGTCCCACAACAGAGTACTGTGGGGGGAGTGGCCTAATGGAGATCGACAGTGGGGTTTCTCTTGGAGTATAAAATGTCCTTTCGAAAAATAATGTCTGCTAAACCAGAGAAAGCAGGTGTTTCTTCTTGTCGTGGAGTATAAATCCTACTTGAGAATAGATTATTTGTGGACGAGAGCCAAATTTGCATGCTGACAAAGACCTCTTCTTCTTCTCTCAGGGTGGAGCCTTCTGGAGCCCAGTATTTGACACCAGGTCTGAAGAAGTGTAAGTATGATTTTCTGTTGATTCATAACAACAATGCAGCCCACATTCAACATCACTGCTTCAACCAATAATCAACTGATTGATTAGTAACTGCAGCCGGATTGTGTCCTCTCCATCAGATTCCTGTCAGCTCACAGTCAACACAAACACCATAAACAGAGCACTGAAACTGTGTGACGGCGACAGGAAGGTGACATTTGATGGGGAGGGTCAGTCGTACCCTGATCATCCAGACAGGTTTGATGTTTACTCTCAACTGCTGAGTGGAAATGCTCTGACTGGCCGTTCTTACTGGGAGGTCAAGTTGAAAGGAAACTTTTGTATCTCAGTGAGTTACAGAGGAATCAGACGGAAAGGAGATGGCAATGACTGTTTGTTTGGAAAGAACAATCAGTCCTGGAGTCTGGACTTCTCTGATGATAAAGGTTTTGTTGTGTGGCACAGAAACAGAGACACCCCCATCTCCTCCTCCTGCTCCTCCTCCTCTAACAGAATAGCAGTGTATGTGGACCATCCTGGTGGCATCCTGTCCTTCTACAGCGTCTCCAACAACATCCTGATTCATCTCCACACCTTCAACACAAGCTTCTCTGAAGCTCTTTATCCTGGATTTAGAGTCCATCCTGGTTCCTCAGTGGTTCTGTGTTGAGTTCTTCCTGTGGGTATTCTCAGATCCAAACGTTTTTCTGCTTGTTTCACAGTGAATATCAGTCTGTTGGGTCTTTCTGAGATGGTTCAGTAAATTTGCTGCTCATAATGTAGCATGACTCCCCCTGAATCTGACCTCTGACCCTCGGGTTGTCTATCAGACTCCCCATGAACTATTTTCTTTAAAGTGACGTATAAAATTAAAAAATGTCTGTTTTCACACATTCACTGTCCTTGGACTCAGAGTCAGCTGCAGTCTGACTATGTTTACCTTTTTTATGCTTTTAGTAAAGAAAAACTAACCATTAATGAAGTTTGTTATATTTGGTTATAACATGTGTGAACATGAATAATGTTGATTATTGTTTTCAGTCATTATAATTAAGTCATGTGAAATATTATAATGTGTTTTAACAAATTTCTCTGTTCTGTTTTTCATAAAATAAGTTTTCCTTGAGAGCCACCTGTGTGTAAATGCTTTGAGCTGGAATCTGTTTACTTCAGAAGGGAGTCATAATGTCTGAGAGATCCTAAAAACACTTTGAGAGCTGAAAGTGTCGCACAAAGTTTCTTTGTGCGACACTTTCAGGTCATCTGTTGTCCCATCCTGATGTGTTCGTCTGATGTTCGTCTTCGTTTACTCCTGAGCAATAAAGCAACAAGTTGCTCAGTAGATATATAGATAAATACTTTATGATCCCGATGGAAATTATATGGCAATCTGTAGCTCTCATTCATACAAACAACAAGATAAAAACACACCAGATTTAAAAAAAAAAAAAAAAACAGTAACACATTTTGTTAGAAGCAAAGTTTCCAGTAACTACAGAAGATGTCGCTTTGTTTTTCTCACAGCAAGACTAACATTTTAGGTTTAAAGTGTAAGCCTGCTGAAGGTTGCTGATCAAAGTGTAAGCCTGCTGAAGGTTGCTGAGCACCTGCACACCTTCTCATCAGCTGTCGTCCTCATCGACACCTGAAGCAGACACCGTGATCTTCAGCTACCTTGGGCAGTTCCTTGCTAGTCCTCTTCTCGTGGTGTATCCTGGTCTGATCCACCAGCAAAACCCCAGAAAGATGAGTGAACCTAGCCTTCTTAAACTGATCCGGTAAGGAGCAGAACCTGCTGACACAATGTAACTTTTATGCCATTTTAGCTGATGCTACTTGATCAATCATTTCCTGCTTGCAGTGATAATAAATGACTTGATCTGGTCATTCAATAATTTATCTAAACCAAAATCCAAATTAAACTATATGTCAAATAGTTCAACTTTGTCTAAATTTGTGCGCGTTTAAAAGCCAAATAATTCCTGCTCAAAGAGTTAATTTTGCTTTAGATAAAATAATTAATCCATTATTGATTAGTTATTGTTTAGATTGTTCATTATTCTTTTAATACTTTTCAAACAAGTTATTCTCCAAATGATTATTCTTTATCATTTGTGTTGTTCAATTTAATTATTGTTGCTCATTCTTAGTTTGATTAATTATTTTGTAATAAATTTTAAAAGACAAACTCAGTTTCCTCCTTATTCTTGATTTTATATATATATATATATATATATATATATATATATATAAAAT